CGGCCTCACGTGGACCTACGGCTCTGATTTGGTGGCAGCTGGGACTTGCGTGCTGGCTTGGAGCTGACTTGTACTACGCGAGCGGCTGCTTTAGCAGTGGCTTGGGGATTCCTTTGAGATCTGGTGACATGAGTCTTGGGCTTGCTTTGCGCCCGCTTCTTAGTGAACAGGTCTACGTGATTGCCAAGGGCCAAAAGACTTCACCAACCCATTCCCAATTGGCCAATAACCCCGATAAAACAAATGCAATTGGGACCTCATATATTTAGGGTGAACTTGACTGAACAACTGCAATCAGATTCCTTACATTCTACATTGTTTGCAATAATTCCCAAAACCAGGGATCCCCGAGCAAGGGACCTGCAGCGTGAGCTACTTTTACCCGCTCGTCAGAAGATAGGCACGGGCGTCCGTCTTTTTGGGGGTACCTGTTTGTTGGGAAGTGGTTGAAAGGCTATAACACACCGCCTCTCTATATTTCCCCCTTGAAATATCTGTAAGCCGGCTTTCAGGGGAGATACATGTAGGGACCTCTGCAACATGGCGATAAGTCTGGGACAGGAACCCCTTCGGGTGAACTCCCCACTCCCCGACGCCTCTGCAACGCTGTTCAAGCGTGCGGACTCCTTCAGGAAAGGGTGACCATCTTTTAACAAAGCACCTGTGGCAGCCTCTACCTGGACCAGCCAGCGTAAAGCACAAGGCCCAAACTCACAAAACGCAGTAGTTGTTCGCCTCCCTCCGAAAACAAACCGCTCTGTTTCCCAAGGACCGCGCGCTTGTTCGAAGCATCGAGCACAAAATCCATGGCTGGGACAGATTGTAAGTAACACCAATCTGTTACGATGGGTGCTCCAGGAAGCCATCCAATTCTGCCACACAGTGATGAATCCATCAGAAAATGGAATATGTGGCAGGAAAGGCTAAATGTAATTTTGGTGGCTGAAGCGAACCCTCCCCAACAATCACCACCAGGCCTCGATTAAGCAGCTCCCAACTGATCCACATTGCTTCCATTCTACCAAAGCAAATACGAATGAACATGCTAATGACACTTCATGCAGGCCCCCAATAAATGGCATCCAGTCACCAAACCAAGGGTCCGCTCAAAGGACCTGCCCCCAACTCCTCCTTGAGTCGAACGAGGTTCGCCTGCGGAGCGGCAGTCAAAGCGTGTGCCACGGGAGCCTAGTACAGCCTAGTACGAGGTCTACCCAAACCAAGGTGAAGAAAATTGAAAGGGCGGATGTCCGCGCCGATTAAAATCTAGATAAATTGTTGGGACAGTCTCCCTTGCTATCCTTCCTGGCAGCGCTCTGCTAATACAGGGTCCATGTTGAATTGCTTCACAGCCAGAAGTACGCCTAATGCCGCTAACTCATCCTAATAGATTTGTCTCTCAGGCGAGTGGATGTGTCAAATTGGCTAGGTTTCCAAACAAATGGCAAGGGGCTCGTTCAACTTCTCTTCCAAGTTTTGATTTGACTTGCGCGCGGTAGCAAAAAGGGCCCCATTGCTTTCGCCGAGCTTCCTTCACTCCCAGCAAGCTTTCGTCAAGATCATCATCGGAACAACGGAGCCCACCATAGACTCCTCAAAGCTTTGATTTGACTTCGACTCCTTGGGGTGGGTGGCGGTGGCAAGGGTACTGAGAAGCATTTTTTGGGGGTTCCATTTCTTAGGAACGATTCGATCGGACACCTCAAGCTACCCCATTGTGTGACCAAGAAAGCATGAGGAATGGAAACAAATCGAACAACTGCTTGGCCAACGCTCTCGTCTGTGTTGAAGAACTGTCCAACCTACCAACTGGGCCTCACTTCCTCAGAGCCTCACTGAGTGGGTTGGCCCGCTAGAAACCCAAGCTGTTTGCATGACTGAAATGTCGCGTGCCCAGAATCTGGGTCGAAGTTTGAAGCAGCCACAGCAGTGTCTCAACCATGGGACCTGGGTTGGGCTCCCTTTAAGTGCTCATTTAAACCCCAAGAGCCTGTACTCAAAACAGTCCAGAAAACAAGTCAGAAAATGACTCACCTGGCCAACGGACTTGCCAACTCAAGATCAAGTTTCTGACCCTTACCTCGAGTAAAACTGGAGCAACAAGGGGACCTAAACGTTTCAAAGGCCAGAAGGTCAAACTTGGACAACTGGAGTTTGTGTCTAGCTTAGGTTTCCTTTCCAAACACCAAACAAAGCTTCTCCCCCCAACACAAGTCCGGAAAATGCAGAGACTAAAAGCTCCCCCCCAAAACAAGTTCACCCACTGGACTTCAAGCGCGAAGTGGGTTTGTCTCAAAATCGGGGACCCAAAGATGTGGTGTTCCTTTTGGTGTCCCTTTAAAGCAGCCTAAAGGGGGGGACCCCAAACCAACCCCAGGTCCCCTCCCGAAAGCTGCGATGCGAGCTGTTCGCCTCCAGCACGCTGAGGGCGTTGGTCGGGCTTGGGGCCTCAAGGCTAAGTGGACCCGGGGAAAGAGGGCGGTGTGCTGTTTGGTGTCCAAAAGTAGGTAACTTATCTATAACATATACATATAGATATGCATACATATATTTATATATACATATGTATATGGTTATACCGTCTACATATGAACTTAGTATGATATATACATATTTGCTACATGTATGTAATACTTGATATGTATAATATATTAATATATATTTCCATTGATGTGGGAACCTGTGTTGGGCCCGTGGTTTCAGGTGAGGTAGTCAGTGTGCCAAGAGAACTCGCCCAACAAAACTCCGACCAGGTTTCCTCTTGTAAACTGGAGCTTGGGGTCACATGTTGAAATGGCTCAGGAAAAGGGCTCACAACTGCAAAATGGGCAAGTAAGCTTACCAAGTCTGAAATCTACGAGGCAATTCCAAGAGGGTTTTCACTCCCCAAGGAAAAACGGAGGGACATTTCAACCAGAATATCCATGCTGTGGTTTGCTTTTAGGCACACGAACAAATGATGGGGCTCAGAGACTCGACGAGTCCTCGATCGATCGGAATGAGTGAATGCCGGGGCCTCATATGCGTCGGCGGGCAAAACGAGCAGGGAGGCCCATAGCCACCTGGTGCCACCGATTGGTGGGATTGAAGCCCTTGAGCCATTCAGCATCCCAACCTCTGGAGGGAAGCTGAGTTAGAGTACATCGCGGTGCATTTGGCCAGCAACTCAGTTCTCAAACAGGTCACAAGCCCTGCTGACAACGAATCCAGCTGTGACAATGACTTACCACGTCAGCCAAGCCCAAACACGCCATGGCATTTCAAGCAAGTCACACCTCACTGCAAGCTACACAAAGGCGAGCCAAACACCAGCCATCTGAGGCCCTCTTGTGATGACCAACGAACCTGAGACAAATCACCAAGTGCGGCGTTCTCCGTCGGACTGGGACCCTTTGGGCTTTGGGCTTCCCGAGTCCCATGATCAAACTCCGCGCCTGGTTCGGTTCCGGAGGCGACGCATTGGGTGTTGCGTCATCTTGAGCACTTGCGAATGCGGAACGAAGGATGGGCTGAAGACACCACGGTCCGGCCAGACTCACCCCGGCAAACAAGAGGCAACAGCATAGTTCCGCTGGATTGGCACTCAGCCTCAGAAACACTGGATCAAACGCATGCGGCAGAGGCTCTATCCACACAGACTACAGTTGCACCAACTTGTAGGACAATAATGACGGTCCCTTAACCAGGGATTTAGCACTACCGGAAAGGGGTGTCTGTCTATGCCTGAGCACGAGAGGGGATCAACAAGACTGTAAACTCAATTGCACAATTGTTGTTAGCCAGCATCGCTCGCCACGTCATACCTATACCTTCAAGTGCCCGACTTTGGGGCAGCGGCAATCGTCGAGGCAATTCGGGAACAAGAGCCGGCAGCTCGACTCAAGGAGGGACGGCGCTGCGCTCATTAAGATTACCAAGCAAACCAGTGGTCAAAACATGGCGTGTGTGTGTGTGTGTTTGTTAAGATAGGGTGAGGGGGTCCCCGCAAAACAAATGCTCTTTTTGGCTCCCCCTTTCTCAAACCTGACAAGGCTATTCAAGAAACACACTGTCTGAAACAGGTGGTCGGGGTCCAAGCTTGCATTCAACCCTCGGCATCGTACCCGACACAAAGGGCTCCTCTGAGGTGTTCTTCGCGAGGGAGGAAAGCCTCATGGTGCGCAAGCGCGGAGGTAGGCTCAAACTTTAATTGCCGTTCCTGAGCTGGACTTCTACATGGTGTGGAAAATAGATGCCCAACGAAACACAGAGTATACTCGCTAAACACACATGTAAACTGAAAGGACCGGCCTGTTGGAGTGCCTTCCTTGTGGCTCCCCTTACCCATCTGTTTGCTCCTTTGAGGGAGAGTATACAGGCACTTGATAAGTTTGGCAACCGGAGATCAGCATCCCACCCGGTTGAGCGGAGCTAATTCTGGCATGCATAGCCGCGCGTTCTAATCTACAAGGCATCACAGCTCAGCTGACAAAGCTGCATTGAAAGATTCAAGCCTGAGTCAAGGGAATATTCAAGTCACCCCAAATACACACACCTGTGTTCCAAAATGAATGGAACGAGCGATGTGAGGGTCTTTACAAGAGGGGGTACTTCTCCAGAAGTTTTACCTTCAATCTGTGTTTCTTCAGGAGTCAGGACAGGGCACTGTTGCCCGAGCTTCGGCTCAGGGGTCGTTGATGAAGAATGGGTCCTGTGGACTGTGCCAGCTACATGGTCAACAACATGCCGGCGATGGTACGGCGTGACGAAAGCAATGCCGAGGGGGCGTCCTGCCGATTCTGCGAGACATGCATTCTGCCGTGCACGGCAATCCGCTCCTGCATGAAAATCAGCACGTAGTTTGGGCTCAAACCGATTCTGCCATGCTCATGATGCTTGGAGCCTGGAATGCCATGCGTTGCTCTCTTGCCCGGGTTGGGCGTCAAGCGTGACCCACTTTTGCCAGTTTGCTCTCTGCACTTTGGGAAGATGGCAAAAGCTTCAGCTGGCGATCAAGGGCATCACTCGGCGCAGTCAGAGACCTGAGAGAGGCGTGATTCTCTACTTCGAGGCCCATACAGAGACAAGGGATCACGTGGGAAATGGAATACATTGGCATTGGGTGTATTCCACAAAAGTAGCACCATTTCGGGTGGTTGTTTCTTGGTGTCGGTTCAAAAACATGCGGTTCGATATATGCATTGGAGAAACCCTTGAGAATCTGGATACCGGTGATTCCAACTACAAGGCAAGCACAATTCTCAGGACCCTCGTGCTAAAGACCGCTGAAAAGGCCGGAAGAATGCAGTGATCAACCATACTCGACATGACTTGGGACCAGCTTGTAAATGGCGTCCCTTGGTTAGCCAAAGCACTTGGATGCGTGAAGATAGGGCAAGGTCCGAGAGAATGCAGCAAAGCCCATGGTCTACCCAAGATGGTAGTGTACCCCACTGAAGCAGGTAGTGGTGTGTGAACGGTCTGCTGGATGCTGGAGATAGATCAATTTGTCCTTTGCGACTTGCACGTGTTGAGCCCTGAAACATGCCCATCGAATCCTTTTCGGTGCGTTGGCTTGACATGACAGCAACATCCTGGGCCATCACGTTTTTGTTCCTACATGTTGGGAAACCAACAGGAAACCACTTGTTAGGGGTCCCCTTTTTGGGAAGCACCCACGTGTTCTCGCATTGTTTACAGGGTTTCCGTTGTTTCCCGCGCTTCGGCTTGGTTGCACATGCCCTTCAAATATCTCCGGATTCCCTGTAGCTTTTCCAGTGGTTTTTTTCGCGAGTCAGGTTCTCCGCATTGATCTTAACTCCATGGCTTCTGACAGTCATCGTCCGCGTGTGGAATCGCACTCCGATGCACTAGTCACTTCGGCCTGTCCCAACTGTAATAAAGTAAGCGTCAACATGGTTGGACCCCAAAATGGGTGGCTGTTCTGTTGAGCTACCCCAAACCCACCTGAAACCGGCAGCCTCAAACAAAAACACAGCCCAAAAATGGGGAGAAAACAAACACGCGTGCACAACAAGAAGATCCCAGGCGCTGAGGGCGGCAGAAGGGAAGCGCACCACGGTGCGGGAGTTGCTCTTGTGACCTGCGGGAGTTGCTTTGTCCGAGCGACCCAAAGCGGGTTCGTTTTTTTTTTTTTAGTGGAGCCATGTTGAGTGGGAAGCTATACCCTGGGAAGTGTCATGACCTGGCTTCCTTGTAAGGAGCTCCAAAGGTCTGCTGAAGGGCATTGAGATTTTGGACACCTTGGGACAAGGAAAAAGAGACAGATGGAAGAAGTCAATTAACGCCAGGCTGTTACCAAAGGCTTGACTTCTTCATCCAAGTTCTTAGGGTCTTGTGTCCCAAGCTTACAGACGCTTCCAAGCGGTGGGGAAGCGGGACAGAGAGCCATTCCTTTGTCTCTCTATTCCCTCCATCTCTTCCTCGTTACGCCGGGTAAACCCTGACTACGGAGTGAGCTGGGGAATTACCGAGAGACAGGGGAATGAAGGAGAATCTCTTCATCACACTCTTGTCTCTCCCAAATGCAGGAAAACCAAATAAAAGCATTTGGGGTGTGATGTAGAGATGGAGAGTGTACTTTCATAATCTCATTCCACATTCCATCTAGTTCCCCGAACGAAGAGAGGAACGGGAATTAGGAATGGAATGGCCATCTACAACTTCTCATCCCCTCACCAACTCTCAGAAATTAATGTGAATAAGGGTGAGGGAAGATGAGAGATAAAGATGGCACACAATGCACACACACACACACACCCAACATTAACCGACAGGAAAGGGACTTAGGTCGGTTGGAGATGTTTGTGTGTGTGAGAGAGAAAGGGATATGAGGAAGAGAAATGGCCCACCATTCACTCCGTTCATTGCCATTTCCTTCCTGTTCCCACACCTCTCAACCAATACACGGCGTGGCTTATAGATGGGTGGAGGAGGCGGGTAAAAGATATGAATGAAGCCTCCTCTGTATCACCCATCTCCTTTCTTTCTCCTTCCTTGCATTTCTCGAATTCTCGGATCCTACGTCTGGAGACGGAAGGGAGTAGAGAAGAGAGGGCGGTCATCCGGGGATGATTCAACCCCATGTCTGAATACCAACGGCCAAAAGAGCAAGTTGTGCTGGTATGGTGCCAGCTACAAAGGCATATGTTGAAGGGCTCTTGGACAAAACAAGCAAAACAAACATCGTTCTAAGTCACTGAAATTCATCTTTGCTTAGGAGGCATGCACTGGCTATCGATGACTCTCATCCTTTGCAGGTTTCTAGGGTGATGTTCTTGTGGCGCAACACGTGCGTGTCGAATGTCCAAACAAATCAAAGAAACGCTAGGCCGGCTGGCAGGGCTTGCCGAGTGGAAAGACCGAGTCTTCTTGGAACTCCTTTCCGGGCTCCAAATAAACATGTGTTCAAAAGTGGTCTGGCCAAGGGGTAAACGTCCAAACAGCGGGGAAGTGACGATTCATTGATCCCCTCCCAAACTCCAGTGCTTGAGAAGCCCGTTTGCAGCACCAAGCCCATGTGTGAAACCCTGGTCGCCAACTTTCAGCCGTAATGACTGCTTGAGGTTTGGATCAGATGGCCTCACCCTGCGCCGGCTATGCGGGCGAAAAAAAAAGCACACCGTCAACCTTCTTGAAACTATAAGCGGTCTTGGCATGAAGGAACCATGTGCTTCCTTGCCATTGTCAACCGTCCTTCTACAGTCTTGGTTGGGGGGTTCTGCGCTGAAGTTTACTCATGCTGCCTCAAATCCCCACTGACGGGTGATGACCAACCCGTTCAGCTCCAGCCAACCAGGATGGCTTTACATGGGAAACAGATCGACTTTCGGGCCTCGGGATCAGAGATCAAAAGCTCAGATGGTCATTGTCTTGGGACAAGTAAGGCGGTCATTCACGTGCTCGGCGTGGGGAATTGAACACCTTTCCCCCCTGGAGGAACCGCCCCATTGCAACTCACCGACTTAGACTTCACAGCTGACGATCTTCACACACACACTCACGGTTCAGGACAGCTTCAAGCAATGGCCAGACAAATGTGTGTTTTGCTTTTGGCTTTCGTGTTGAAAATCTCAAGAAGGGCACCCTCAAAAACTGCTTTGATCGCGGTGCGTGTCCTCTTGCATATTGCTAAGAAAACTGGATCGCTCACTGCTCACCTCAATGTTCCTGTATCGTGCAGGTGGATTCGCTTCTTTCAAAGCCCCAACTCTAGCAACTCTTGGGATTTCACATCCCACTGAGTGCACCAGTTCTTCGCTTCGTGCAGCAATCTTTTACCGCCGTCAAAGCTACAACAGACACCGTTCAATCCCAGTTGCTCTTGCACCGGGCGCAGTTTCCACCCCAGATTCGAGACTGGCAGCAAAAGCCCGTCCAGTTGCTTGGAGATGAGTGACGTTCTCAGCTGCTCTTGCGCCTGATTGCTGTCTCCACCGTATCTTGCAGATTCAACAATGGCGTCAAACGCAGAGACGCTTGCTTGGATGCACTGGAGGTTCCTCAGCTGCTCTTGCACTCGGCTGCTGTTCTCACCTTGTTCTGGATAACTCCAGGTCACAACGGCCAGATTGAGTCGCGCAATTCAAGCGGTCCACCTTGAAACAGCTGAAATCTGGGGCAAGGCCAGTCCTAAGCACGCACGCGGCTGATCTCGCGCAGGGCGGGATGCCAAGTGCCAGGTACGGGCAGGTGGGCCTGGAAGGCAACGGACAGGGGCAGTCTTTTTTCGAAGGCTTCCAGGGCTCGTCGGAGAGGCGCCAGAACAGGCCGTCATCCCACTGGACCACACCACTGGGGATGGACAGCTCCTGGTTGATGCTTGGGACGTCGCGTGCCAAAAAGGCTCGTAGAGCAGCCATAGGCGCGTCAAGGAACATCACCTGAAGATCGACGGTGCCTTGCTTGGGGGCCAACATCCAGCTCGGACACTCAACCTCCGAGCGTGTTCCCCCTTGGCTTACGAGTTGGAGATTGGGCACACCCCACGCGTGACACAACTTCATGCGCAGCACTTGGTACACGACTGGCTCCTCTGGCATGACGTTGATTTCTGCCAGAAGCTATCCGCTCGAGGCCGACAACAACCTGCAGCGCACCAGACCTCGCGTGCGAGGCTCCGGTTGAAGAGGCGCGGACGGCTGCTTTCGCCTGCGCCGTCTCGGCCTGCAACTCTGGCAGATCTCGCACCTGCAACTTGCGTGTCCTCTATCTTAACGGGCTCCAACTTCACAAGTGGTAGAATACGAATGTCATCTCCTCCTCGGAGCTTTCATCCCCATGCAGCTTCAGGTAGTTGGATCGCTGTGTCGTCTCCTCAAAGAAACCTTTCAGCATATTATGGGCAAGCGATATGTTTGCCCCGCCATTGTTGCTGCTGACCCCTATCTGGCAATGAACCCAACTTGCGAGGCTGCTCTTCATGTCCAGTGTCCGAGCGTCTTCCACGGCTCTGCAGCCTACACGAAGCTGGACGTTCCTCAGCTGCTCTTGCACCTGGCTTTGCACGGCCCAAGGTCACAACAGCTCCAGATTCAAGAAAAGAACACTCGGTTGCGTGGATGTGCTGGACGTTCCTCAGCTGTTCTTGCACCTGGCTGGAATCTCTGCCACATTCTGAATGACCCCAGGTCACAACCTCGCCCGCGTGGCCATAAAAAGTAAACAACTTGCCAGTGGCAGCCAGTTTGCCAAGCTGCACGACCGCAGCGACCATCTCCGGTGAGACCGCCGCAGAGCAACCATCTCCACTGGGTAAGTGAACATCCACCCTCATGGCGCAAGAAGCATCTCTCTGCGTGCATTCAAGTTGCAAGCAACGATTCTGAAAGGACCAAACCGTTATAAATGGCACTTCAGGAGCCAGGGAACAAAAGGTTCCCCTGTGAGGCTGGATGATCAAATATGGGCTGCAACTGGAAGCTAAGAGCATGCCTTTGGAGCCGAATGAGCTGAGCAAATCCATTGCCTCCCAAAAGAGGGTTGGGTCAGGTCGACGAAGACTACCATGAAACCCACAAACCCCTTCTGAGAGGCATCTCGTTTTTGGGGGACCCTTTTGGTGCAGCCCCAAGTAAATCTGCCGTAAGGTACCCTCCCACCGACTAACATGGGTTTCTGCTTAAAAAGGCCAACAGACCAAGAGGAAAGTCGTCGTACAGGGGTCGGGTTTGCACCAAACCCATGTTAAATCGCTGGTGGGAGGGTCTGTGCCAATTTTGCCCAAGCTTCGTAGCTGCCCGGCGGGCAACGCGCTTACCGCGCCTGGCTCCTCCAGCACTTGCCCGTCACACGCCTCGGAACGCGAGCGAGCGAGCGAGCGTGGCAACATCCCAAGGGCCTTTAGGAACCCCCTGGCACCCCGTATGGCGTTTTTGTTGTCTCCTTTGTTTTCTTTTTGTTTTCCCAGTCAAAGGCGAATGACCTAAAACAAAGGCCATATGGGGTCCCAGGCCCTCAAGATCCAACCAAGCTCATGTTAGCCTGTGACTGAAAGGTCCGGGGTTCCATAGGTTGCAACCCATTGCTTGCTGAACAATCTCCAAGTTACACTACATCACACACCAGAAATCATGAGAAATCAGGAATTCCGACGTGAGCTCGTTTGGCTCGCATCGGTGAGCTGACCCCTCTCAGGCCAGGTAAAACCTGAGGCCGCTTTGGTGTTGGGCGGCTGTGCTCACTGGATATGTGACCTGCGGGCCTCAGGTTACCAGGCTCAAATAGTGTATTCATCGTGATACTCACAGGAGAAATCCACCACCAGGTCGGCGTGTGGGTACTTGATCCTGTGTGCAACAGGCAGGGTGGTGCTTCCTTCATAGGAGCCCAACAATGGCTTTGTCATTTTGGATCGGTATGTCAAAATACGGGGACCCTAAGAAAGGTGGCTGTCTTCTTGGCTTACCAAGCTGAGAAAGGTAGCTTCAAACATACACCATACACTCCCACACTGACAAACACACAGAACACAAACAAAAACATACACACACACACACACACAAACACACCCACCGACGTGCCCTTTGGCAGATTGATGACTATCCCAAGTACCAATCCTCCCTCCCCCTAAATACGTAGGCCATCTGCGAACCTCATGTTTCCCTTTCGTGGGTGCATAATGTTTTCACCAAGCTCATTTGTTGATGAATCCTTGGTTTAGAGCTCTTCCCGCTCCAATCGCCAGTTGTTCGCGGCGCAGGGGATGTCTTCCCCCCAACAGAAACAGCACTACACAGCTGTGCCTCTGTGTGATAGAACCGCGGCATTATGAAACAACTTGTTATTGCGGTCCCGTTGGGGAAGATGCAGCGGGATGCAGCTTTCCAGAATGTCCCACCCTTTCCACACTCGAAGTGATGCGGTGAATCGCAGCAGCACTATGCATGAGCTTGCGCAAGACTGCATTACCCATGACACTGCGCCCCCTTTCTATTATTTGCAACCATGACTGGTTTAGTTGAGTACCAGGCTGACTTTGTTTTGACCATTTGACAGGGTCCATGATCAATTGCACTTGAAGTGCTAATCATGGCGTTTATCGCACAATTACTACAAAAGAGTAGTGAATTCAATATTGCGGCCTAACCTTGGTGTGGCCCAAGTCAAGTGACCATGGCACAAAAGCTAGCCATGCTTAGTACAGATTCACCACTGCAAAGAATTGTGAAATCCCACGATCCGCAAGTGTCCCTTAGCATGTGAAAGGCTTGCGGCTGTGTCATCTGAAGATGAGCCCCCGACTACATGCCTTGCAAAGAAAGCCGTCCATCCTTCACCTCTCTTCGCAGAACAGCTGACCAAAAACGCTTGCAAAGCTCAGGGGCCATTCATTCGGATGCGCATCTGGGAGCCCCGACCCACTGGGGGGAATCAACCTCCCTGTACTGCTGATAGGCATATCCTGGCGCAGCGCAGATTCCGCGCTGCATCTCTCCGATGGTTGGCCCAGGAATGAAGAACCCAGGCAGGCGCGAGAAACGAACGACAGGCCTAAGGCCCTGTTTTCCGCCTCCTGCATGGGATTGTTGGATCGCTTCACAGAGTGCAACAACCAATACGTAGGAATCTCAGTTTGGATGCCCTATCAAAGGCCTAAGGCTACACCAGCTCTGATCAACCAACAAACTATTTGGATCAATAGTGCACGTGCATGTGTGCAGTCGAGACATGTAGCCCGAAACTCATAGATTGATGTGGGTCCTACCACGTTTGCTGGGCCTGGCGGCTAGCTGGCAAAATGGGGAGCCATGTCTGAGCAACGCGGATGATGCTAGAGTGGCTTCACTGATTACCCTCCCTCCAACAAACATAGCAACTGCGGGAGGGTACCTTGAAAATGGTTTGCCTCTTGATGGTATCTTGTGTGTTAGTGGGAGGGAGGGTATCTGGACTCGAATGGAAAAATAATGCCGCATCGCCTCATCGCTACCAAGCATCGCCCTGAGTCTGCAAGAAGAACAGAGACCGCTACCAGCAACCATCGATTCATCCGCAGTGTCTGTGTCTTCATTGCAGGAAGCAAGCGCCCTGCCAGGACCACAGGGTGGCAATCATGTGCGAAATCGGACAAGCTGCCTGACGTCATGTCGTGCTTGGCAAACCCGACAGCAACATACCGCAAGTGTCTGCCTCTTTCCAACAAAACACTGAGCCTACTTCCCAAACCCAGCTGGGCAAATGGCGCAGAGGCTGTAGTCCCAATAGCTTGCACCTTATACAGACGCACAAACACGCAAGCACACAAACACACCCACACCGTCACACCCACACCCAGACCCACACCCCATACTGGAGACTTGGAGTCAAATCATCAGCCCCATGGACTTGATATGGGCAAAATCCACTTCGCAACATGGGATGGATGAAACACCTATGAATACTGGGATAAACCACCTATGTACCAACTGGTGCAGGATTTTGTCCTGGCGCAAAGTGGATTTTGTCCATCCACAGTGACTCAACCTTAGAAAGAACAACGCTGCGATGGAAATGGTTCAAGCAACAATATTGGTCTCCTCCGACACTATCCCGTGCAGCTTCTTTGTTTATGGGCATCTTAATCTTTATCATGGTAAACACAAGGAATGCCTGTCAAGCAATCCCTTGCTGATCTGATGGGCTGACACAAACACTTAGCTAGGCCCAAGCTGATACTGGTGTAGTAACCATGCCACTTTTAGTACATCTGAACAGGAACAACCGCCCTGCAGCCGGGATAGTCTATTCCTAAAATTCAAAACAAGACTGAATACATCAACATAACAGCCTTCCTGCTTCCTGACACCCCCATGCCCCGTCACTTTGTCAAATGGTTGCTCCTTGGTCACTCCTTGGACAGCAGCACACCTCTGAGTCGCAGTCCTCGCGAAATGTGGGAAGGATTTTGTGAGCACTCACCGAAGGTTGACATGGCAGCCAATGATTTGGATTTATCACTTGCGAAAGCTGCCTTTGTTGTGTGTTTGATCTCGGAAATGTTGTTGGAGAGTATGCATGAATTACAGCTATACCTTCCACATAAAGCAAAGGGGAGGAAAGTGAATCTGCAAGCTACATAATGACTTTTTCGATGCCCTACACACGTGCCCGAGTTTGCCAAACTGGTCGAAGTTTCAGGAGCCCCAACATGCAGAGGGACTCATTGGGAATCCCCTCAAATTCAGTCGACTTTGGACAGCCTCATGCCATTGGCGAAAAAAGTCGTCAAAGCCAGGGGCCAGGGATTTCCAGATGCCAGCGGGACACCCTGGACTCCTTGGGCATGTTGCGAAGCAAAGGCTCCCTCTGCAAAAGCTCTGTGCAGCTCAACGCCTTTGCAATAAAATCAAGAAACATAAAGGCATCTCTGAAAAGGAGGTATTCATGTTGGTGTACTGTAGGTTGCCCATACATATGTCGGTTTGACACAAATGATGGCAATGATCAATGAGAAGGATCCACCTGAAACCAATGAACGCCAATGGCGGACCCCCTTCTGGTTGGGCGCTAAAGGCAAACTGCAAGGAATCAAACCATTTCATTTGGGACCTAAGAAGCACACCCATACTGTGGATGGACGAAATGCTGCACCACTTTAACACCAATGGACACGATTGTTCGTTGGTATTTCCAGGGTTTCTTAGGTGGTGCAGGGGCTAGACTTCAAGCCAGTCTGTAATTAATGGGCAACTCTCGCAGCGCTCGAAGGAGGTTCTGTCTCCTTCGTGTCCTCCTCTGCGGTGTCCTGGCAAATTCTCCCACTTGACTGGAAGAACTAGCCGCTCCTGAAACCCGTTGACATTCTAGGGGCACCTTCCCAATTCTTTCTAGGGATCCTTCTTTCTAGAAAACCTCAAGAATCCTAAAGAAAACGGCTGGTTTTAAACAAGAACGATGGTTGAAAAGAATTGGGAATCAAGCCCTAGAGACATTGACTGTTGGTTCTACCAGCATGGTTTTACAGGATAATACATGCCTTGCCAAAACCCCTATGACTCCAGCGCCCACCCGTACCACGAAACGCAATTTTGCGCGCACACACACACACGCTGGGCGGGCATGAGAGGGCACGCGGGTGCACTTGAGCAGTTGCGCTTATCATTTTGGCTGGCCTGTGCGCACTAGCAATGCGCTGGCGGTGTCAAGCGCACGCTCAGCAGTGACACATGCCTGCCAAATGATAGGCACGCCCAGAAGTAATTTGGAGGTTACGTAAACATTGTGATAATCTGATAATTGCAAGCATGTGCTTGGGCACGTAAGCCCAGGGATGGTGTTCCCTTGAAACTCGCCTAACAAAACACAATGGCTGTGTGTGTGTGTGCGCGCGTCTCTTTGCGTGCGCTTATGATTGCGTGATTGTTTGCGTGTCCGTGTGTTTGTGTGTGGGCTTGTGTGTGGGCTTGCGGGTTTGTTGTTGTGCACCCGCTTTGGGTACATGTGGTTGTGGGCTGATGC